CCCGGGTTTTGTTAAGCCGAGCCAAGGAAATTTCGCCTAACGGTGCTGGCTTGCAGAATGCGAGGGATTTGTTTTCTTTCTCAGTCTTGGAGAGCTCTGTCCTGCCTTGGAGCTGCCTTCCCGATATAGCAGCAGTTGCTAACTCTGAATGAATGCACCGAATTCCCGCAGCGCCGAGCGGGGTTCGGCCGCTGCGCTTTGAGTTTGGGCAGAGCCGGGAGCCCTGGGTGGCACTGTCCCATCAGCTGTCACTCTATAAATAGCAAACGGAGCCCAAGCGCTCGTTTGGAGATTTCCCAGGCTCAGCTCGGACGGGGAATCGGTGCCAAGGCGGAGCAGAGCGGGGCTGGCGATGAGGTGGCAGAGCCGGGGGTGCCACACGTCCCTGTCACCTCTTGGGCAACATCTGAGGATGCTGAGGAAAGAGCTTTGAGTCAGTGCCGCGCTGTCACCCACGGAGGCCTCCAGCAGGGAGGGGACATCCTCGGGGTGGCTCTGCAGGGAGGTCCCGGCCCCACGGAAGGGTTGGAGAGAGGCAGGGCCGTCTGTCACATCTGAGCCCTGCACACATCCAGCCTAACTTTGGGTTTGTGTCCCCTCAACTTCTGTCTCTCTGTGCTGAAATCCAGGTGTGGTGTACGGTGCCTGTAGGAGAGTTGGGATGGTGTTTTGGGGGTTTTTCTGCCCTTCAGCACGGTCACACACCGCCCCTGTCACCCGGATCCGCTGGGATTTGTCCCCGGAGGTGGCGGTGTCCTGGAGCAGGAGCGGTGCCAGCGCGGGGATTGGCTGCTCCACAGAGCACAGCGGGATCAAAACACGATTAAAACACGATTAAAACACGATTAAAACATGATCAAAACATGATTAAAACATGATCAAAGCATGATCAAAACACGATCAAAACATGATAAAAACATGATCAAAACATGATCAAAACATGATTAAAACATGATCAAAACACCATCAAAACATGATCAAAACATGATTAAAACATGATCAAAACATGATCAAAATATGATCAAAACACGATTAATACCTGATCAAAACATGATCGAAACATGATCAAAACACGATTAAAACACGATTAAAACAGGAGCTGGAGGAAGAGCTGGGAGCTGGGGGTGTCTCAGAGAGCCCCGTTTCTCCTGATGGAGAGGATTTTTAGTGTGTGGGGTGGCCCCATCAGCGGTGCCAGCCCGGAGCACCCTCCCGGCGCTCCCCGGGGTCCTCCCCGTGTTTCTCGTGGCTCATCTGCTGCTCTGAAAGGGAGCAGCGTGTCCAAGGAGCCTCTGGAGCGTCCTGCGGTCCTGGAAGGGTCAGCTGGAGGGAGGGGAAGCGGGGCAGGTCCTGGGGAGGAGCAGATCCCTGMTGCTGCAGGAAGGAGTTGGGATGTGGGGCTGGATCGGTTCACTGGGGA